TGTACTGGCAATTCACCGCGAATCCTACGCGCGTAGGATCATACGCGCGTTGACGAAATACTAGCAGCCAATACATTGCGTCCACAAGACACGCACGAGTTGAAAATTCGCGCGTAAATCGCGTCATACATACGCTCGTGCTCGGGCGAAGACATTCGCGGCGAATTCGCCCTCCTGGACAAGGCCTAAAGTAACCACATAAGTCGCAAATGTAAGTGACTGATAAATAGGTGAGGCATATGGCTCGCATAGCTGATGGCTCTTGGGGCAGAAAGTTCTCGCTTGGCGAACATGAATTGGAAGACATGTGTAACCACTTGATGGACCAAAGATCTAATGAAGGTCACGAAAAGTACTCCTAGATGTTGGCTACACAAGATCAGTTGTTGTGATTGCAGGCTGAAATTAATTAAAAAACTATATGACATGTTTCTGAACGAATCCGTCGATCTAAAGGCAGACATCGGCTTTATAATGATGGACAGCTTCTGCTTATTTCCGCAATCCTTGCACTGCGCCTCCTTGGACTAATGCTAGAAGTTCTATAGCCTCACGCTGGCGTAGTCCGTATACACGCTGGGGGCGCTACTGTCACCGTATGTAGTCAGTATAGTATAGTATACTGTACAAGCTTTGCTTAGTTTGAGACTGGAAGCGCAGTGTAAAATGTCCAAGGATATTTATTTATTTATAAACACTAGACGCGATATATTCACATACCTCTGCGTGCAGCCAGTGCACTGTGACTCCTTGGGCTGATGCTGGAAGATCCACAGCCCCACGCTAGCGTCGTCTGCATACAGCGCGTGCACGCAGCCTGGCAGACCCCTTGAGCCGTTGCGGCCCCCCAAACAAAGTAGAGAGTCGGGGGCGCTGCTGTCATCTCATGAAGTCAGTACACTAGACACAATACAAGCACGTACCTCTGCGTGCAGCCAGTGCACTGTGACTCCTTAGGCTGGTGCTGGAAGTTCCAAAGCCCTACACTAGCGTCGTCTGCATAGAGTGCATGCACGCAGCCTGGTAGACCCCCTGCGCCGTCGCGGCCCCCTAACCATAGTTGGGAACCGGTGAGTCGGACGGCGCTTGGGGCGCTACTGTTGGTAGCAGTGACAGGTGTCCCGCCGCCCATTCGTTCGAGTTTGAGGTGCACTGTGTTCCATATCCTGGACAAATAATATTTTGATTTAGGGTGGATTCAACCAAACAAGAGTAAATAATCTTAGAAAAAATTGTCAGTTTTGACATATTACCCATAATGAAACTGTCAATGTGCCAGTTATACCAGGAGCTATTCTCGGAAATCAAAGTTTCGTCAAATCGGGCCTAAAACAGAATCTGTATAAGTCCTTATTATGTACATTTTATAGATCGATTCATCCATGAAGATGCGCCCCACCACTTTTTGGTTGAAGGAAGCGCGGGGTGCGGGGAGTTTCGTAATGTAATCTCTTCGTCAAAGATTTCAGTCACTATACTTACGAGTACAATATTCTGTGTTTGTGTAGCCCTTCAGGGCTACTAAAAGCTCAATGTCTAAATCCATAGGGTACCTATAGAAGTTAGACTGACAAAGTTTGTATAATTCGAATCGATTCTGGATCTCTTTTCATGAGCAGCAGATGTTTAAAAAAATCCTAAAGTTGACGACCAGCTGGTTCCCTGCCACTCACCTTTCTATCTCGATGCGGTAGGACGTCTGGTCGGCGTCGTCATGCGTGGCCTGCAGCGTTTCCGGGTGCACGATGGTTGCCGCGCCGCCGCCCAGGTCCCAAGTCAACCGTAGCCTCTTCTTTTCGACGACCAGCTTCATGTATTTCTCATTATCCTGGAATATCACGGAAATTCAAATAAATGTTCATAACTTGTTAATAATAATGTTACTAGAATTTACAGGGAGAATTGATCAAAGAAGTCTAGATCTGAGATGAACCTTAAGTATGCAAAAGCTGTTTATTTCTGATTTGCTTGAGTTGGTTAGCTATTCTAATTTTGACTACATCGATGGCATCTCTGCTTACGTGTATCAGTGTCTTCAAATGGAAACGTTTAATAAAATATTGAGTAGACGACCTGCTCTGCTCGCAAGAAGATAACTGATAATGTGGGCATGCAGTCCTTGGGTTCCCACGTCCAGCAGTGGACTGTTTGGATGAATTCTGCGAGTCCTACCCAACTGAAGTCCAGACTATTCCCACCTCTCGTTCCCACCGCTGCAACTCCTGTGTAGCCAGGATCTACAGCTTGACCGCCACAAAAACCCAACCAATGAAGGTCAAGTTTGTCCCGGGGGAAAGTTAAACTGTCATTGGACCCGCAACGAAATTAATCAGAAGAACATAGGAGGAGTTCGAAATTAAGGTTCGACTTCCCTCCATTGCAAAGCGGATGTCAGGAGACAAACAAAGGTTTTTGAAGCCCAGTAGCCTTATTCACGTAACAAAACTTCAACAAACAAATCGCTGAGTTGCGATCGTATCGAGTAATCGTTCTATCGAAATGACCCTTGTGAATACGGATTTAAAACTGTTTTTCAATAGGACGACTTCTAAACGTCAACGAGATTTTGACTGTGTCAAAATACGTGAATTCTCACCTGCGAGTCGTCAACGAGGTGTAGCAGCGGTCCGTCGCGCACGCGCGCGTCGAACGACACGGCGAGTGCGAGGCGCGTGGCGGCCGGCGCTGCGCCTGATAGAGCGTAAGCGCGTGCGCATCCTGCGCCCGCTGCTGACGTTAGGGACACCGATATCTGGGGGAAGGAGGCAGTTATGATTATAGTCTGGTCTGCGAGCACGTAGAATTTTGTCCAATGACCCCAAGCTACCCATCCTTATCGCTCGCGCGTAATTATGCTATAAGAATGGGTAGCTTGGGGTCTTTGGACAAAATTCTACGTGCTCACAGACCAGGCTTTAGCAGTGTGTAAGATTTGACAATTATAAACAACTTGAAAAAATCGAACTGCCTAAGGCGGGAATTGAACCCACGACCTTCCGCTTGCCGGGCGACTGCTCTTCCTCGTGGGTTCAATTCCCGCCTTAGGCAGTTCGATTTTTTCAAGTTTTTTATAATATTAAAATTAGTCATTTAATGTAATTAGTAATTTAAACTCAAAACAATAACGCCAAGGACCAATTACGGAACAAAAACTGTACTGTTTGAGGGAGCACAGCTATTCAACAGTTTGCCTGACGACTTGAAGGATTGTGAAAGTTTACATATTTTTAAAAAGAAACTTAAGATACACATAGCAGGCTAGCAGCTACTAGTACCAGTGGCTAATTTGTAACTTATTTATTAAATATTTTAGTATCTCATTATAAGTGAAATGTAAATTTCTTATGAGAATAAAGTTCTTTAAACCTAGTTTGAGATGCGACTCTTAACGCTAAAAATTAAATAATAGTGTGTAAGATCTTAGAGAGCTGAGCATCATGCTCAACCTCCAGCACCAAATTACGCTCTAATGTTGACACCACTAATACAAGGCCCGGTTTCCTCAAAAGCTTAAAGAGATTTGTTTGAATAACCAATTAGATTTCTAAACCGAAGTTGAGCGGAGAGGTGATGTGGAAATACAAAACGTTCGTGAAAATGCTCGACGGTCGAAAATGGCCTGAATTGCTTCGAGAAAAGGATGGTACGGCCGTGCCGCTTTTTTGCTCGACTTGGTGGGGGCACTGCCGTGCCCCCAGATAGAAAATCGTCTCCTTTTCATTCCAAAAGACAAAGTTCTTTCAAATTCAAATGTAAGGTGTTTAGTTGTAAGTTTCACTGTTAAGGTGAAAGTATGCTGTATATTGGATCTAAAGAAGATAAGGCTCACCGACTGCGCCGCATGCTTGGCCTTCGCGATCTTGTCCTTGAGCGCGAGCACGGCGGGGTCGAGCGTGCGCGCCGCCGCCGAATGCTCGCGCGCACGCGCCTCCGCCGCCGTCGCCAGCGCCTCCGCTAGCTCCGCGCCGCGCAGGGTATTGCCACGGATTTGAGTCACTGAGCAGAACATAATTAAGTTAGTGTCAAAAGATCCTTATACCACATATTATTATTCTAGAGCCACCTTGTCGTCTCCCTATTAATTATCATCATGCTGTTGTTAATTGGTTAGCTGTCATATTGAATTTAGATCTCCCCGTTCGTACTCGTAAATAAGGAAAAATGCACTTACCATGCTCCTCGGCTGCACCCAACTGCGTGTCCCCATGTCTCTGTAACTCGGCCAGCTGTCTCCTCAAGCTGTATCGCGCTCGGCGCCGAAGCTCGGCCGCATTATCGTAAGCTTTGTATCTTGAGCATGCTCAGGTAAATGAGCGGCTCATTTGGCCGAAGCGCTCAAGTGGAGACGCCTAAGCCGAGCCTGAGCCTGGATCTCAACTTGACATTCGCCTGAGCATGCTCAAGTGGATACGAGACTGTACAACGCACGCGCAAGGGTCGATGCCACCATAAACACCCACCATGCTCCTCGGCCGCTCCCAACTGCGTGTCCCCATGTCTCTGTAACTCAGCCAGCTGTCTCCTCAAGCTGTACCGCGCTCGGCGCCGCAGTTCGGCCGCATTATCGTAAGCCTTGTATCTTGAGTATGCTCAGGTAAATGAGCGGCTCATTTGGCCAAGGCGCTCAAGTGGAGACGCCTGAACCGAGCCTAAGCCTGGATCCCAACTTGACATTCACCTGAGCATGCTCAAGTGGATACAAGACTACAACGCACGCGCAAGGGTTGATGCCATCATAAACACCCACCATGCTCTTCGGCTGCTCCCAGCTGCGTGTCCCCATGTCTTTGTAACTCGGCCAGCTGTCTCCTCAAACTGTACCGCGCTCGGCGCCGAAGCTCGGCCGCATTGTCGTAAGCCTTGTGTCTTGAGCATGCTCAGGTAAATGAGCGGCTCATTTGGTCGGGCGCTCAAGTGGAGACTCTTGAGCCGAGCCTGAGCCCAGGCTCAGGCTTTAGGCGCATTAGCACCCAGGTGCTAAGGCGTCTCCACTTGACATTCACCTGAGCATGCTCAATTGGATACAAGACTGTACAAAGGACGCGTATATAGGGTCGACGAGAGACATCGTGGAAATCCTTGGAGGAGGTCTTTGTCCAGCAGTGGACGTCTTTCGGCTGAAACGAACGAGAGACATAAACACCCACCGTGCTCCTCGGCTGCTCCCAGCTGCGTGTCCCCATGTCTTNCATGTCTCTGTAACTCAGCCAGCTGTCTCCTCAAGCTGTACCGCGCTCGGCGCCGCAGTTCAGCTGCCTCGTCGTACAGCGCGCGAGCCGCCGCGAATACGCGGTCCGCGCGAACACCCGCCTCGCGTAATGTTTCAGCTACACGTGCTCGCGGACGCTCGCCGAGCGCACGTTCGCCCCAGCCTAGTGCGCGGAGGGATACGGAGACCACGTCCGCTGCTCGTTGGAGGTGCTCGAGTTTGTTGCGGAGCTCTGTGGTAAGAAAGTTTAGGTAGTTGACGTCACCAATCTTGATCTGGTGGAGAGCTATCGCTCCTCATCACGATCTCATATAATACCTTTAAAAATTAAGACTAATATTAAATGGAATTGGAGAAACGAAATGGATCGGAAAAATAGGACCCTGAAGCTTTGGACAATGCTTTGTTTTTGTTTTCTTTAGGATCTAGAGGAATCCGAGAAAGTTAAAAATCTCTGACAAAATTGATGACTAAAGCCTGGTCCGTGAGCACGTAGAATTTTGTCCAATGACCCCAAGCTACCCATCCTTATCGCTCGCGCGTAATTATATTGCTGTTGCGCTCGCACACTCACTGCGCGAGCGATAAGGATGGGTAGCTTGGGGTCATTGGACCAGGCTTTAGTACTACCATATTCGGCTTACATCTATAATAGCTAATCTCCCTCATTTCTAACGGATCAAAGATTTGTATAAAGCTCACCATCAGATCTAGCCAGCAGTTCTGCACCCCGCTTCTTCAGATCATTCGACGCCGCGATCCCCGCAGCAGCCGCTCTAGGCACGGAATCTTGCGAGAAGGCAGTAGCGGCGGCGGCGGCGGCGGCGCGCGCGGTGTCGGCGGCGGAACGTGCTGCGCCCACGGCCTCAGCTACGCCGCCCCACGCGTGGGCAGCTGATACGCCTAAGGAAGCAGCCGCTCGGGCGCCGCTGAACACCCTGACAAGTAGATAATGTTTTTGTTGCTTAGTTAGTAGTGGTAGTTACCTTCGAGAAGTAAGACCGATTGTCCTTGTCACACTGTCTTAGATTGGCACAAAAATAACTGTAGTTACCTACTCAATATTAGATTTGGAAACAAAATTATTTCTTTTTCTCTTTGAAACATCCAGAAAAATACACAAAAATCATCCAAGAGGCATGAGAGAGTACCTAACGGGATAAGTGACAGCGAGATAGCTCGTAAGGCCTCAGCCTCGAGTTTAGCGGGCAGCGGGGCGGGAGCGGCGGCGGCGCGGGAGCGGGGCGGGAAACGCAGACCCGTTCTCGAAACAAGCGGGCAGCTCGCGCGGCGCTTTAGCGGCGAAGTGTTGTGTTCGGGGTTGTGTTGTCGAGATATTTGTTTTTATTCGCAAACGAAATGTCTGAACAACGGCGACAATTTTATTTCGATTCAAATTTATTCCTAACTCTCGATTTATTGTGGGTAAAAGCGCACTCCTTGTGCGCTGCCCGCTCGTTGCCCGCTCCCGCCCCGCTGACGCGCCGCTGTTTTCGATAAACTCGAGGCTGAGGCCTTAGTTACATTTTGTACTGTTTCGCCTTCTCGCTCAGCTCAGTTACGTGTCTCTCGACGCCTCGGCGTGAGGTTGTACAGGATGCCCTCATTCTCTTCTGTTGCCCTTAGGACTTTCTGGCAACTGTATCTACCGGAATCAGTAACAGCAATACTTACATTTTATACTGCTTGGCCTTCTCGCTCAGCTCAGCCACGTGTCTCTCCACAGGCTCCAAGTATTTTCTTCTGTAGGCTGGAGTCAGGTTGTAGAGGATGCCCTCCTTCTCTTCTGCGGCCCTTGAGAGGGATGCCAGCGTCTGCCCTTCACCAGTAGGGCAGAAGAGAGATCTTATGCCATGTACCTGTCGTGATCAGTATCTGCCATAACTTACATTTTATACTGCTTGGCCTTCTCGCTCAGCTCAGCCACGTGTCTCTCCACCGGCTCCAGGTACTTTCTTCTGTAGGCTGGAGTCAGGTTGTAGAGGATGCCCTCCTTCTCTTCTGCAGCCTTCGCCAGTGAAGCCTGCGTCTCATGCTCTGTGAGCAACTGTACCTGTCGTGATTAGTATCAGCAATAACTTACATTTTGTATTGCTTGGCCTTCTCGCTCAGCTCAGCCACGTGTCTCTCCACAGGCTCCAGATACTTTCTTCTGTAGGCTGGAGTCAGGTTGTAAAGGATGCCTTCCTTCTCTTCTGCAGCCTTCGCCAGTGAAGCCTGCGTCTCATGCTCTGTGAGCAACTGTACCTGTCGTGATCAGTGTCAACTAAAACTTACATTTTATACTGCTTGGCCTTCTCGCTCAGCTCAGCCACGTGTCTCTCCACAGGCTCCAAGAACTTTCTTCTATAGGCTGGAGTCAGGTTGTAGAGGTTGCCCTCCTTTTCCTCCGCAGCCCTCGCCAGTGAAGCATGCGTCTCATGCTCTGTGAGCAACTGTACCTGTCGTGATCAGTATCAGCAATAACTTACATTTTGTACTGCTTGGCCTTCTCGCTCAGTTCAGCCACGTGTCTCTCCACAGGATCCAGATACTTTCTTCTATAGGCTGGAGTCAGGTTGTAAAGGATGCCTTCCTTCTCTTCTGCAGCCCTCGCCAGTGAAGCCTGCGTCTCATGCTCTGTGAGCAACTGTACCTGTCGTGATCAGTATCAGCAATAACTTACATTTTGTACTGCTTGGCCTTCTCGCTCAGCTCAGCCACGTGCCTCTCCACAGGCTCCAGATACTTCCTTCTGTAGGCTGGAGTCAGGTTGTAGAGGATGCCTTCCTTCTCTTCTGCAGCCTTCGCCAGTGAAACTAGTTCGGCCGCCGCGCCCGGGGCTCGCACCGCCAGCGTCTGTCCCACTAGTAGTGCTGAAGTGATCTCGTCCGTTAGGTTGGTGGCTGAGAGGGAGCTGATGTCCTGCGGGTGGAAATGATTGATGAGCATTAGTGGTTGCAATGTTACTTTGAGAGTATCATTGTGAGAATAGACTAAAAAGTCCAGTTAACAAGTTAAGAAAGAAAGTTAAGAAAGTTAAGAAATCAAAATAATCTAAANATGCTTTGTTTCTGTTTTCTTTAGAATCTAGAGCAGTCTTTCCCAAAGTGGGCGATAACGCCCCCTTGTGGGCGCTGCAGGCTTAAAGGGGGGCGGTAAGAGACCCCGGAAAAAAGTCGGGGCATTGTGTAGAGGCTTGGGAGGCGATTTATAATATCATCTACTACTAGGAGGACTCTTAGACACCGACTGAGCACTCGACTCTTGACTGCAAAAATGGGGGCGTTAAAAAAGATTTTATTCTCAAAGTGGGCCGTAGACAAAATAAGTTTGGGAACCGCTGATCTAGAGGAATTCAAGAAAATTGATGATTCTAATCTCTGGCAATATTGATGATGGTTAGTGGTACCGCATTCCGTGGCTTAAACCTTTACCTGGTAGTGGCAGAATTGTTACCACCATATTTTGAACCTTATTAAGAAAACATAAGTTCAAAACTAATGAAAAATATTTTTCTCTATACCAATTAATAGTAGGGAATTTAGTGCAAGAACCCCTCCACTTTGGTATAGAAGGCTGATTTTTGCACCAGTTGTTCTTTGGGTGCTCTTGAGTAGATTTCCGTCGGTAGACATCGGGAGCCCCCCCTGTGGTAGCAGGGGGAGGGGGGGCAAGTTTCCTTCTGCCACGCTTCACTTTAAGGACCATATATTCAAAACTATGGGCATTAGGGCAAGTGTGGTGTCATTTTCGGATAATTAAAGGATGGCGAATTCATTTCTAGAACAAACTTTTTGCCTTTACATACAAAAAAATAGAAATATGGAGTAAAATTCACAAAAACCAAAAAGATTTTTTTAAAATAAACGTCGTTTACTTTTAAACCACTGGAGATAATCTAATAAAAAAAAATATGTCCTGAAAGCTACATTTATCAGGATTATAAATATATACCATTGTATGGTACTTTTTTCGAAAAAAGTAGGTGAAAAAAAATTTTTCTTCAGGACACAGCGGGCGACTTTTAATGCGCGTCGGAAAAAAATATTTATTTTATCCATGAATTCATACTTTTTCGTTCATAAGCAAGTAAACATTATTATTTTAGAATTTATTTTGAGTTCCTGGCACATCATGCTACCATGATTTGTATTTTTTCTTCAGTTAATTTTGAACTTTATGTGTAAGACATAAGGTTGAAAATAGTTTAATTACATTGTATTAATGAAAATATCATAAGAAGAAAGCACTAAATAAAGAACTTGAATTTGTCTAAACGTCTAATGATTATTATTATTATTATTTTAATTAACATATTTATTTCAACATACTATTGTACCAGTGATAACGGAAAGGTAAGTGTGAGGAAAGTGAGGATTGATATTATCATAGTACCTACGGGAGATTATTTTTAACACAAAGGCTANCTGTAAGTGCCCACCAACCTAGGCAGTTTTGTATCAGTATATCAAGGGCTGTAATTATGTCCTTATGATTTTTTCAAATTATTTAGTCGATAGCAACATGGAGCCTACATGGACCGATTTGCCCGTAGCTGCCGAAGCTTGCCTGGAAATGGTGAGATGTAAGTGCAAGAAGTAGTGCAGATGCTGGTGCTGTCCGAAAAAACAACTATAATGGTCACAGCCGTAGCCTTTGTGTTAAAAATAATCTCCCGTAGGTACTATGATAATATCAATCCTCACTTTCCTCACACTTACCTTTCCGTTATCACTGGTACAATAGTATGTAGAAATAAAAATGTTTATTAAAATAATAATAATAAGCATTAGACGTTTAGACAAATTCAAGTTCTTTGTTTAGTGCTTTCTTCTTATGATATTTTCAATAATACAATGTATTTAAACTATTTTCAACCTTATGTCTTACACATAGAGTTCAAATAATAATAATAAGCATTAGACGTTTAGACAAATTCAAGTTCTTTGTTTAGTGCTTTCTTCTTATGATATTTTCAATAATACAATGTATTTAAACTATTTTCAACCTTATGTCTTACACATAGAGTTCAAAATTAATTGAAGAAAAAATACAAATCATGGTAGCATGATGTGCCAGGAACTCTAAATAAATTCTAAAATAATAATCTTTACTTGCTTATGAACCAAATAGTATAAATTCATGGATAAAATAAATATTTTTTCCGACGCGCATTAAAATTCGCCCGCTGTGTCCTGAAGAAAAAATTTTTTTCACCTACTTTTTTCGAAAAAAGTACCATACAATGGTATATATTTATAATCCTGATAAATGTAGCTTTCAGTACATATTTTTTTTATTAGATTATCTCCAGTGGTTTAAAAGTAAGCGACGTTTATTTAAAAAAATACTTTTTGGTTTTTGTGAATTTTACTCCATATTTCTATTTTTTTGTATGTAAAGGCAAAAAGTTTGTTCTAGAAATGAATTCGCCATCCTTTAATTATCCGAAAATGACACCACACTTGCCCTAATACCCATAGTTTTGAAGATATGGGCCTTAAAAAGAAGCGCGGCAGAAGGAAACTTGCCCCCCCTCCCCCTGCTACCACAGGGGGGGCTCCCGATGTCTACCGACGGAAATCTACTCAAGAGCACCCAAAGAACAACTGGTGCAAAAATGAGCCTTCTATACCAAAGTGGAGGGGTCTCCATACAAATCATTGCACTAAATTCCCTACTATAAAGGGTTAATCCCATCAAAAACAATACTTGTCAAAAAAACCAAGTCTCGCAACTCAGTTGTTCTACGGTAAAAAGTTGTGAGATCCATGTAATACCAAGTCCAGGCCAGGAAATCTTTAACGTTTTACATAAAATATTGACTTGGCCATCGCACTAAAACTACAAATAATCTACAACTGAATGCAAAGAAAACAAAATGTATAAAATTCTCTTTGCCTAACGTAAAAACAGTTAGTACCCAAATAGAACTTAATAATAATGCAATCGATCTGGTAGAATCTACTGTATTTCTGGGAATTACCCTGGATTCAAAACTCCAGTGGGGCTCCCATATAGAAACTCTGGCGGGAAAGCTCAGCTCAGCGGCTTTTGCAATAAAAAGGATACGGTCATTAACCGATGTTTCAACAGCTCGCTTAGTCTACTTTAGCTACTTTCATAGCCTAATGTCATATGGAATCATGCTATGGGGCAAAGCTGCAGATTTTGAAACAATATTTATTCTGCAAAAACGTGCCATAAGATACTTGTATAAAATGAAAGCAAGAGCGTCCCTTAGAGAATTGTTTAAAGAAATTGGCATTCTCACGGCCGCTTCACAATACATCTTAAACTGTATTCTATTTATTCAACAAAATATTAATGAATTCAAAAAGAAAAGTGATATTCACCAAATCAATACTAGAAATAAAAATAAATTGGCTATACCCGCTTTTAGACTTAATAAAGTGTTTGCCACCTTTATGGGACAAGGTATCCATTTTTATAACAAAGTCCCTGATAAATATAAAGAGCTACCGTACAATAAATTTAAAGGTATAGTTAAAGATCACATGCTTAAAAAAGCCTATTATACAACTCGAGATTTTCTTAATGATAAGTCATCCTGGGAGTAGGATTATGGTGCTCTCATGCTCGCACTAAAAAGAATTAAAATCGTGCTATGAAAAGTAATGTATAAACTAATCTAATTTTCTAAAATGTTATAGTGTCATGCTTCTCAATCTGGACTGTTACTTAGCTTTATTATTAGTTTTTTTTTTCTCTAAGAGATAACTTGGTATTGTCATTCTCACTAAAATGTCTCTGGGGTGGTGGCGTAGTGAGGCGGGTCGTTACATTCCCTCTTATATGGTCGAGTGAAGCGATGGCTGGTTCACTCGTCATGTCTGTGAACAGGCGCTGCTTTCGGGGACTGGTCAATCCAAGTTATTCCAATTTATGTATGCGAGTCATTTCTACTAGTATTTAAGTATGTAATCTGTAAGTCTAGATATTAGCACGTCACTACCATGAAGCTAAAGATAAGGATGGAGGGCAGAGTTGGAACAAAAACTTGAGTCAAATACCTACTTATATCTATCTCGCTCTCTGCGGCCCTACCTCTCTTTTTAGTGTGAACTGTAGTATTGCTATCTTCTGATTTAAATCTCCTTGTAAATTCTTCGAAATAGCCAATTCACTAACCAAATCAGAAGTTAAAAGCTTCTCGCTCAGCTCAGCCACGTGTCTCTCCACAAGCTCCAGGTACTTTCTTCTGTAGGCTGGAGTCAGGTTATAGAGGATGCCCTCCTTCTCTTCTGCAGCCCTCGCCAGTGAAGCCTGCGTCTCATGCTCTGTGAGCAACTGTACCTGTCGTGATCAGTATCAACTAAAACTTACATTTTGTACTGCTTGGCCTTCTCACTCAGCTCAGCCACGTGTCTCTCCACAGGCTCCAAGTACTTTCTTCTGTAGGCTGGAGTCAGGTTGTAGAGGATGCCCTCCTTCTCTTCTGCAGCTTTCGCGAGGGAAGCAAGTTCGGCCGCCGCGCCCGGGGCTCGCACAGCTAGTGTCTGCCCCACCAGTAGGGCAGATGTGATCTCGTCTGTTAAGTTGGTGGCTGAGAGGGAGCTGATGTCCTGCGGGTGGAAATGATTGATGAGGATTAGTGGTTGCAATGTTACTTTGAGAGTATCATTGTGAGAATAGACTGAAAAGTCAATATCCAGCCAATAAGTTACGTTCCGTAGATTCTAGTTCATAAAATTCGCAAGATTGTCAATAGATGTTGCTGTGTTAAGTTGCATCGCGGTGTCGAAGTTTTAGCAACTCGCATATTATTATAACAGATTTTGTTTATCGTCTCCGAGTCGTCGGCGCGTCGCTCCCACTCCTCCAGCGCCGCCTGTAGTGTCTCACCTCCAGCAGCAGGCGGCAGCGCAGCGCTGTGTCTCGGACCGCGGCGAGGCGGGGCCGCGCGCGGGCGTCGAGCGCGGCGAGCGCGTCCCCCGCGGCCCACGCGGCGCCCCCTAGTGTCGGCGCGTCGCTCCCACTCCTCCAGCGCCGCCTGTAGTGTCTCACCTCCAGCAGCAGGCGGCAGCGCAGCGCTGTGTCTCGGACCGCGGCGAGGCGGGGCCGCGCGCGGGCGTCGAGCGCGGCGAGCGCGTCCCCCGCGGCCCACGCGGCGCCCCCTAGTGTCGGCGCGTCGCTCCCACTCCTCCAGCGCCGCCTGTAGTGTCTCACCTCCAGCAGCAGGCGGCAGCGCAGCGCTGTGTCTCGGACCGCGGCGAGGCGGGGCCGCGCGCGGGCGTCGAGCGCGGCGAGCGCGTCCCCCGCGGCCCACGCGGCGCCCCCTAGTGTCGGCGCGTCGCTCCCACTCCTCCAGCGCCGCCTGTAGTGTCTCACCTCCAGCAGCAGGCGGCAGCGCAGCGCTGTGTCTCGGACCGCGGCGAGGCGGGGCCGCGCGCGGGCGTCGAGCGCGGCGAGCGCGTCCCCCGCGGCCCACGCGGCGCCCCCTAGTGTCGGCGCGTCGCTCCCACTCCTCCAGCGCCGCCTGTAGTGTCTCACCTCCAGCAGCAGGCGGCAGCGCAGCGCTGTGTCTCGGACCGCGGCGAGGCGGGGCCGCGCGCGGGCGTCGAGCGCGGCGAGCGCGTCCCCCGCGGCCCACGCGGCGCCCCCTAGTGTCGGCGCGTCGCTCCCACTCCTCCAGCGCCGCCTGTAGTGTCTCACCTCCAGCAGCAGGCGGCAGCGCAGCGCTGTGTCTCGGACCGCGGCGAGGCGGGGCCGCGCGCGGGCGTCGAGCGCGGCGAGCGCGTCCCCCGCGGCCCACGCGGCGCCCCCTAGTGTCGGCGCGTCGCTCCCACTCCTCCAGCGCCGCCTGTAGTGTCTCACCTCCAGCAGCAGGCGGCAGCGCAGCGCTGTGTCTCGGACCGCGGCGAGGCGGGGCCGCGCGCGGGCGTCGAGCGCGGCGAGCGCGTCCCCCGCGGCCCACGCGGCGCCCCCTAGTGTCGGCGCGTCGCTCCCACTCCTCCAGCGCCGCCTGTAGTGTCTCACCTCCAGCAGCAGGCGGCAGCGCAGCGCTGTGTCTCGGACCGCGGCGAGGCGGGGCCGCGCGCGGGCGTCGAGCGCGGCGAGCGCGTCCCCCGCGGCCCACGCGGCGCCCCCTAGTGTCGGCGCGTCGCTCCCACTCCTCCAGCGCCGCCTGTAGTGTCTCACCTCCAGCAGCAGGCGGCAGCGCAGCGCTGTGTCTCGGACCGCGGCGAGGCGGGGCCGCGCGCGGGCGTCGAGCGCGGCGAGCGCGTCCCCCGCGGCCCACGCGGCGCCCCCTAGTGTCGGCACGTCGTCGGCGCGGCGCTCCCACTCCTCTAGTGCTGCTTGGAGCTTGCGCACGCGTCGCTGAACGTCCTCTAACCGATAGTCGTACTCCTGGACGGCTGTTGATTGGAGGGTGGCCTGGTGTCGAAACAAATGAGTAAATTTTCTTAGTCTATCGTAGGGTTGTAACGAAGTCATAATTAAACATTAGCATGAGACTGGTCGTCATGAAACGACTGACACTCCTCGGCCACAAAAAGACCATTGCGCCGTTAGCGAAGAAAATGGAGCCTCTTCTAAAACCGGGGTGATCAAAGAAAATATACAAGGTTAGAGAAAAAATCAACGGTTAAACACATCATGATGAAAAATTGCAGAGTGCAGTGGAACCTACAAATGTAGGTATGACTTACCGTATCAAAAACATCAGCGGCTCCTGCTAGATAGTCGATCAGCTTGACGTCCTTTATCTTCCTCATGAGATGCTTCGCTTCCTTCAAGGCTCTATGCGCTGACAGATGCTTCTCACCCCGAGCGAAGTCATCTAATGCTGCCACTTGTTCCCCTAGTTTTCTTCTTTGCTTCAGCACTTCTTCTAGACCACTCATGCTTTCCAAGCTAAGGGAGTAAGACTCGTCTCCTCTTCTAATAGCCTCGCTTTTCAGTCTGTTTGCTTCTGTGAATAACTGGTGTTCTCTTTCTTCCAAGTTCTTGATGGCAGGTTCAATGCTGTTGGTGTTCTGAAGGTCTTCGGCGAGGTGGTGTAGAGATGTCTGCAGTTGAGAAGTGTTGTGGGCGAATTCTAGCAACGCCGGGAAGGGCTTAGGGATGCGACTCAGTTCGGTGGGGTCTGCTCGGGTCCGTAGGTCTTTGGATAGAAATTCGACGGACTCCAATAAGGTTAGAGTGCAGTTGTCGCAAGCTGTAATAAAAATAAATTTGAATGAGTGAAAATAATTAAACCTCTATTCGCCTTATGCATCCAGAGTTCCTGGCTTCTTCTGATGAGGGAAATGCATAAAGTTGTCATTTGGAATTATGTCACAAACAATGTGGAAGGGCCAATTCAATGAAGACGTCATAAGACGTATGCCTATTTGGTTGCATCTCTGCGTCACATGAAAATACAACGATAAGTACAGATACACTCACGTGTACAAACACCACTCTCGTCCATATGCTCGCCTCGCGCGCGGCATCGACTACACTTGTCGCCAGTAGCGCGTGCACGACACATACACCGCCCGCGCGCGTCGCACGCCGCGCCCGCCGCCCCTCGCGCGTCGCAGCCGCAAGCCGCGTGCTTATATCTAAAGCCCGGTCTCCGAGCACGTATAATTTTGTCCAATGACCCCAAGCTACCCATCCTTATTGCTCGCGCGTAATTATGTTGCTGTCGCGCTCGCACACTCACTGCGGGCGCCCGTCGCACAGTCGCGACAGCAATGACCCCATGCTCCGCTCTCGCGGCTCGCGCGTAATTATATTGCTGTCGCGACTGTGCGACGGGCGGCAGCAGTGAGTGTGCGAGCGCGACAGGACGCGCTTGGGGTCATTGGACAAAATTCTACGTGCTCACAGACCGGGCTTTAGACAGTTTCTAATTTGACCCTGCAGCAAGGTGTATACTCACGTGTACAAACACCACTCTCGTCCATATGCTCGCCTCGCGCGCGGCATCGACTACACTTGTCCCCAGTAGCGCGTTCACGACACCGGCACCGCCCGCGCGCGTTGCACGCCGCGCTCGCAGACCCACGCATGTCTCACCCACAAGCCACGTACTCATATCTAGATAATTTCTAATTGACCCTGCAGCAAGGTGTGTACTCACGTGTACAGACGCCAATCTCGTCCATATGCTCGCCTCGCGCGCGGCACCGCCCGGCCGTGCGCGTCGCAGCCGCAAGCCGCGTGCTCATATCTATAGTCTGGTCTGTGAGCACGTAGAATTTTGTCCAATGACCCCAAGCTACCCATCCTTATCGCTCGCGCGTAATTATATTGCTGCTCGCGCGTAATTATATTGCTGGCACCCGCAGTGAGTGTGCGAGCGCGACAGCAACATAATTACGCGCGAGCGATAAGGATGGGTAGCTTGGGGTCATTGGACGAAATTCTACGTGCTCACAGACCAGGCTTTATATAGGTACTTAGTTTCTAATTTGATCCTGTAGCAAGGTGTATAATACTCACGTGTACAAACACCACTCTCATCCATATGCTCGCCGCGTGTTCGACATCGGCTGCACTTGTCCCCAGTAGCGCGTGCGCGACATCGGCACCGGCCACGCGCGTCGCACGCCGCGCCCGCTGCACCCCTCGCGTCGCAGCCGCAAGGCAAGCAGCCGCCGTCTGGGGAGCGGTAGTAGCCGGTGGCGCACCATTCGCACTCTGGGCCCGTGTAGCCTAGAAATAGGTTAAAGTTATTTCAACCAAAAGGTACACGTGTATACGACCCGTGTGGCTACGAGCGGTAATAGTCGTGACACCAAGCCCTTGGTTTAATTAATAATGATATTAAAAGATTAAACGATCGTTTATTCAATACCAATAACACCTTTTGTAAACATTATGGAAGCAATAAACTATTGAATATTGAGTATTCACCGAGATTTTCTCACTTCTTTAATGCCGTCACTTTCTTGTAAGATAGCTACATACTGATGAAGTAGTAACTGACAAACTAAAAACCATGTCTCTAAATACAAGAATCAGGACTGCAGATCAATCACAAATCAATCCATCAGTAAACCCTCGACATTCTTCAGTTACCAGGCAGTTCTCAAGTGTCTGAGCAAGAAGGTTCTGATTACAGAACTATTTGAATTCTCCTCTTCTCTCTGCTTTTGGTGGAAATCGGGTCTTATCCATGAAACATAGCTCACCAGGTTTACACAAGCACTGCAGCCGGCCGCCACTCATAGCACACGCCGACGCGAAGTTATTAGCGCGGTCAGGACAGGGGCAGGCCTGGCAGCCTGTCTCAGGCGAGCCGAAGTAGCGTCTGCCCACATATCCCTAGCATTGCAAATAACACTGAACATAGCTCACCAGGTTTACACAAGCACTGCAGCCGGCCGCCACTCATAGCACACGCCGACGCAAAGTTATTAGCGCGATCAGTGTGCTTACCATGAGTTGACGTTAGGTGTGCTCGCTAGCGACTACGTAAAAAAATGACATTAATTGTATGACATATTGTGCAGCGCCCCTAGCGGCTACTTTCAAGAAACAAAATATTCATAGAGATTTTTGAGGTACTCGCTAGCGAGCACACCTAACGTAAACTCATGGTAGGTGCACAGGACAGGGGCAGGCCTGGCAGCCTGTCTCGGGCGAGCCGAAGTAGCCTCAGCACACATATCCCTGGCACTGTGTATAACACTAGACATAGCTTACCAGGTTTGCACAAGCACTGCAGCCGGCCGCCACTCATAGCACACGCCGACGCGAAGTTATTAGCGCGGTCAGGACAGGGGCAGGCCTGGCAGCCTGTCTCGGGCGACCCGAAGTAGCCCAGTTCACATATCCCTGGCACTTGTATAACACTGAACATAGCTCACCAGGTTTACACAAGCACTGCAGCCGGCCGCCACTCATAGCACACGCCGACGCGAAGTTATTAGCGCGATCAGGACAGGGGCAGGCCTGGCAGCCTGTCTCAGGCGACCCGAAGTAGCCCAGTTCACATATCCCTGGCACTGTGTATAACACTAGACATAGCTTACCAGGTTTACACAAGCACTGCAGCCGGCCGCCACTCATAGCACACGCCGACGCGAAGTTGTTGGCGCGGTCAGGACAGGGGCAGGCCTGGCAGCCTGTCTCGGGCGAGCCGAAGTAGCCTTCCGCGCATACTGCACACGTGGGACCGCCCGTGCCGCCCGTGCAGTTCTGGTGGGTGAAGTGATAAGAAAATAAGTAACAGATACGTGGCACATTCATGATTTGGATGGGTTGAGGAATGAGACATTGTGGTGTCCCCACTCGGGGAAAGCTTTGTCTAACAGTGGACGACATTTGGCGACGACATCATTGAGCACACTAAAAGTAGGGTCTAATTCTAAAATTACATAGCCCCACACAAGTCCTAGTTGCTGCGATACCAGCGCCAAAAGACCAACTCACACGTTATCTACATTTGTTACCTCTTTATTGTATTAAAAATAAGGAATTATAATTTAGACAGCTGCTTGCATGGTCTACTTCATATCCTAGAAGTTGCCACACCATCCCTTATGCCAGCCAGCTGAATCTATTTATCATACTTATGTGGCCATCGTTTCAACCGAAAGAATGTGGCTATGCCAATTCAATACTCAATATCAATCATTTCTGGATGTATCCGTAGCTGTATCTTGCAATAAGTCCAATCAATACTCACCAAGCAAGCTCCAGTCCTCGGATCACACTTGTCAGCCCTGCCATTGCACCTGCACGGCTGCGCGTCCCCTTCTAAGTTGATGACGATAGTCCCCGCCACGTTGACGATGTGCACCCGCTGCCGGGGCATCCAGAAGCCAATGGCAGGTTCTTGGCACGACGGTGCTGAGTACCTGTAAGTTTCCTTTTATTTTTATAACCAAAGAAGAGCAAAAACAACCATATTTGGCTCAGTTTCTCCATACCAGAGTAAATACAAATGACTAACTAGGTCATCTTCATAGAAACGCACCGAGCGCGGTTTGTATGTGAGCGCGCCAATACGTATGCGGCGTGCACGCACACACTGACAAAATTTAGCGGGGATTAGCGGGGTGGAGTTGCGCCTATTGGCGCGCTCACATACAAACCGCGCTCGGTGCGTTTCTATGAAGATGACCTACTCATTTGTATTTACTCTGTCCATACCTTCTGACAGTGGGCAAATTCAAACACTAATGAAAACTTTGAAAATGTAGGTACGTAAGATGCGCTTACTTGTATGAAAAGTATCCATCTAGGCGTAACATCTGTTTTCTTGAAAGATTAGACAATTTGTAAAGTTTTACTAGTTTCTTTGTCTTACCGCTCAGAGCACTCGCACAGTTCCACGCCGAGGGCCGGCTCTGACCGGCTCAGGCCGGGGATGGCTGTGTCGAGAGACACGTTGAGGAGCCTGGCGATGAGGACAATGATATTGTATTACCTTCAAATAGATCACCATACTGAAACCGTAAAATTCTTGGGTCTACATATAGATAGCAATTTAAAATGGCAAAGTCATATAGATTTTGTGTGTAAGAAACTTTCCCAGTCATCATACAGTCTTTACCACTTATCAAAAAAAGTAAATCTCCCTGCGTTGGTCACGTCTTACCATGGCTTCGTAGCTTCCAGATTGAGGTACGCCATTATCTTTTGGGGAAATGCTACTAACTGGGATAGAGTATTTAGGTGTCAAAAAAAGTGTATACGTGCTATGTGTGGCTTGAAGAGAACTGACAGTTGCAAACCTCATTTTCAAAATTTAAAAATATTGACTATGCCATGCCTTTATATATTTGAGCTGGCTCTATTTATTAGACATAACCCTTCCCTGTTTAAAATAATACCGAGATCGCGTAATCGCAATATTCTTATAGCCGTTGATGGATGTGTGTCATATAAGACAGCCCTCTACGACATGGGTGTTTTTGCTATGGCTCCGAAAATTTATAATAAAATACCTAATCATATTAAAGAGTGCACTGATATCTCAATCTTTAAACAAAAGCTATTTATATTTTTGGTCAGTAACAGTTTTTATTCAGTACATGAGTTCCTACAATTTAAATAAAGTTTTTCTACAATTTCTTCCTTGACAACATTGACTCTAATATCCGATTGACTGCCCTGCATTAATTTATTTTAATCTTGCAATTTATTTAACTGACATTTATGATTTTGACATTTAATTTGCTCATTATTACTATAAATGACATTCCAAAGGCTATTAATTATCCTATGATTCTGTTTGCAGATGATTGTACAGCCGTATTTGACAACAAAGAAGATATTAATAACGGCTTAGTTTCTATAATTGAATGGTTGCAAAGTAATAATTTGGTTATAAATATAGACAAAACTAAAATTATGGAATTTAAGCAAAGAACGGAACGGACTCTCAATTTACCCATAGTGCATAGTGGCAAAGTAGTGGATTCAACTGAAACCGTAAAATTCTTGGGTCTACATATAGATAGCAATTTAAAATGGCAAAGTCATATAGATTTTGTGTGTAAGAAACTTTCCCAGTCATCATACAGTCTTTACCACTTATCAAAAAAAGTAAATCTCCCTGCGTTGGTCACGTCTTACCATGGCTTCGTAGCTTCCAGATTGAGGTACGCCATAATCTTTTGGGGAAATGCTACTAACTGGGATAGAGTATTTAGGTGTCAAAAAAAGTGTATACGTGCTATGTGTGGCTTGAAGAGAACTGACAGTTGCAAACCTCATTTTCAAAATTTAAAAATATTGACTATGCCATGCCTTTATATATTTGAGCTGGCTCTATTTATTAGACATAACCCTTCCCTGTTTAAAATAATACCGAGATCGCGTAATCGCAATATTCTTATAGCCGTTGATGGATGTGTGTCATATAAGACAGCCCTCTACGACATGGGTGTTTTTGCTATGGCTCCGAAAATTTATAATAAAATACCTAATCATATTAAAGAGTGCACTGATATCTCAATCTTTAAACAAAAGCTATTTATATTTTTGGTCAGTAACAGTTTTTATTCAGTACATGAGTTCCTACAATTTAAATAAAGTTTTTCTACAATTTCTTCCTTGACAACATTGACTCTAATATCCGATTGACTGCCCTGCATTAATTTATTTTAATCTTGCAATTTATTTAACTGACATTTATGATTTTGACATTTAATTTGCTCATTATTACTTTTCTTTAACATAATATTATACTTAAAATCACGCTTTAACATTTGTATGCCGACAAGGCTGATCACGGCTTGAACACATATCTTGTTTGTACATCATACTGCTTACCTGTGTTTCACAAATAAATTATTTGAATTTGAATTTGAATTTGAACCATCACTTGCTTGATCGTACTTTAATGACATAATCATGGAACAGTATGAAAGATGCCACATGGACAGAGAGTAAGAGAGACGCACACAAACGTCAACGCCCGTGTGGCATCTCTTATACCTCGAGGACATCATGGTAGAGTTTCAAACATTAATTAAATAAGATTTCTGAAGTCATCATAGTCCAACTGCCAATTTGAGTTCCTGAGTGATAAGAGAAATGTTCTTCAACGAGTAGCCTGAGCTTGAAACTGTTAGGCTGGTTTTAGTGTCACGCGGACTGTCAGTGCGGATCGCTCCGCACAGCCGATCTGTATGAACTGCATTACTCTAAAACGCTCCCTAGAAGTTCATGCAGATTGGCCGTGCGGAGCCGGTCCGCACCGGAAGGTCCGCGTGACACTAAAACCAGCTTTAAGGGTTCCCTAGACTAGTTAAAGGCAATGTTTCCATACTTAGTATGTATCCTACTCCTACTTACAAGGCGTGCACGTGGTCGTAGTAAGTCGGCGCCCTGGTGGTGACCCGGAGTAGTATTCGTTCCACGTTCTGTAGAGCGGCCATGATGGCGGGTCTGGTAGCGAGCGCTCCTTGTCCTCGGACTTCCCATAGTGATTCGTGGAGGCGCACCGCGTATGTACCGTTCAGCGCTGGTACTCGCTGTGAAATATAAAAATAACATCAAAAAAACACCATGACAAGAGGGTAAGGAGGTGGTGGCTGGTGATATGGATACACTCTACTTACAGTAAATGTGTCTAAAAATAATTGAGTAGTCAATACCATTAACAAAACATTTCAATCTGACTCTGAATATCAAGTTAGTTTTCAATTGAATGTATGATTCGATCTTAGTAGCTAGTTGGGTAATTGATTTTGTGGCAAAGAGGATTACTAGAAAAAAAAAAGACCGAGCTGGGTCTTTTTAATATTTTTTTTCCACAACGAGGAAGCTCTTGGCCTGTATCTCACCTGATGGTAAGTGATGATCAGGCCGAAGGTGGAAGCGAGCTTCACCCGGAATCCTCAACCACGAAGGAACTATCTATCTTACCTCTAACCAGGCCTGGCTCACTCCGCGCGGTACATCCGATAATTACCTACAGCGAAGCGCCCCGCCCCNTTGTACTTCAGAAACCTATGGCGGGTTCCTGGCACGACAACGCCGAGTAGCACTAGGAGACTTACTACCACTATTCTTTATACCAGCTACATTTCTTTGTCATACTTATGTGTGCCTTTTCTGGATGTATCTGCAGCCGTCTCCTAGATTTTAGTCTCACAGAAACACTTTTGCCTTAGACCTAAGCATCAACTAGGTACGTACCAAGCAAGCTCCAGTCTTCGGGTCACACTTGTCAGCCCTGCCATTGCACCTGCAAGGCTGCGCGTCCCCTTCTAAGTTAATGACGATAGTCCCCGCCACGTTGACTATGTGGACCCGCTGCCGGGGCATCCAGAAGCCAATGGCAGGTTCTTGGCAAGACGGTGCTGAGTACCTGTAAGTTTCCTTTTATTTTTATAACCAAAGAAGAGCAAAAACAACCATATTTGGCTCAGTTTCTCCATACCAGAGTAAATACAAATGACTAACTAGGTCATCTTCATAGAAACGCACCGAGCGCGGTTTGTATGTGAGCGCGCCAATACGTATGCGGCGTGCACGCACACACTGACAAAATTTTGCGGGGATTAGCGGGGTGGAGTTGCGCCTATTGGCGCGCTCACATACAAACCGCGCTTGGTGCGTTTCTATGAAGATGACCTACTCATTTGTATTTACTCTGTCCGTTCTGACCTGACAGTGGGCAAATTCAAACACTAGTGAAAATTTTGAAAGTGTAGGTATGTTAGATGCGCTTACTTGTATGAAAAGTATCCATCTAGGCGTAACATCTGCCTACCTACCATGAGTTTACGTTAGGTGTGCTCGCTAGCGAGTACGCCAAAAATCTCTATGAAGATTTTGTTTCTTTAAAGTAGCCGCTAGGGGCGCTGCACAATATGTCATACAATTAATGTCATTTTTTTACGCAGTCGCTAGCGAGCACACCTAACGTAAACTCATGGTAAGCACACTGTTTTCTTAAGACACATTAGACATTTTTGTAAAGTTTTAATAGTTTCTTTGACTTACCGCTCAGAGCACTCGCACAGCTCCACGCCGAGCGCCGGCTCTGACCGGCTCAGGCCGGGGATGGCGGTGTCTAGGGACACGTTGAGAAGCCTGGCGATAAAACAATGGTGATGAAAACGTTTTAATAAATCACCTTCACTTGCTTGATCGTACTTTGATAACATGATCATGGAACAGTAAGAGAGATGCCACATGAACAGAGAGTAAGAGAGACGCACACAAACGTCAACGCCCTTGTGGCATCTCTCTTACCTCGAGGACATCATGGTAGCGTTTCAAACATAATTAATTAGATTTCTGAAGTCATCATAGTCCAACTGCCAATTTGAGTTCCTGAGTGATAAGAGAAATGTTCTTCAACGAGTAGCCTGAGCTTGAAATCTGTTAGGTTGGTTTTAGTGTCACGCGGACTGTCAGTGCGGATCGCTCCGCACAGCCGATCTGTATGAACTGCATTACTCTAAAACGCTCCCTAGAAGTTCATGCAGATTGGCCGTGCGGAGCCGGTCCCCACCGGAAGGTCCGCGTGACACTAAAACCAGCTTTAAGGGTTCCCTAGACTAGTTAAATGCAATGTTTCCATACTTAGTATGTATCCTACTCCTACTTACAAGGCGTGCACGTGGTCGTAATAAGTCGGCGCTCTGGTGGTGACTCGGAGTAGTATTCGTTCCACGTTCTGTAGAGCAGCCATGATGGCGGGTCTGGTGGCGAGGGCTCCCTGTCCTCGGACCTCCCATAGCGACTCGTAGAGGCGCCCAGTTTATGTTCTGTACTTACAAGGCGTGCACGTGGTCATAGTAAGTCGGCGCCCTGGTGGTGACCCGGAGTAGTATTCGTTCCACGTTCTGAAGAGCGGCCATGATGGCGGGTCTAGTAGCAAGCGCTCCTTGTCCTCGGACTTCCCATAGGGATTCGTGGAGACGCACCGCGTATGTACCGTTCAGCGCTGGTACTCGCTGACAAATAAGAAAATTAATTAAAAAATAGCATGGCAAGAGGGTAAGGAGGTGGTGGCTGGTGATATGGATACTCTCTATCTACAGTAAGGCTGGTTTTAGCGTCACGCGGACCAGCGTTTTAGAGTAATGCGGTCCGGAAGAACCGCTCCGCTCCCTAGCAGTTCATACAGATCGGCTGTGCGGAGCGATCCGCACTGACAGTCCGCGTGACACTAAAATCAGCCTTTTGTGTCTAAAAATAATTGAGTACTCAATTCCACTATCAAAACATTTCCATCTGACTCTGAATATAAAGTTAGTTTTCAATTTAATGTACGATTCGATCTTAGTAATTAGTTAGGCAATTGATTTTGTGGCAAAGAGGATTACTAGAAAAAAAGACCGAGCTGGGTCTTTTTAATATTTTTTTTTCCACAACGAGGAAGCTCTTGGCCTGTATCTCACCTGATGGTAAGTGATGATCAGGCCAAAGGTGGAAGCGAGCTTCACCCGGAATCCTCAACCACGGAGGAACTGGCTATCTTACCTCTAACTGCCGGAACACAACAATGCTTTTAACATTGTTGTTATGGCGACAGACATAGGTAAGATGGTGGTAGCTAGCCAGGCGGACTTAGAACAAGCCCTACCACCAACCAAACCGAACAAAAAAATCTGCCCCCACTGGGAATCGAACCCGGGACCTCTGCGTCTGAAGCAGGTGGTCTTACCACTAGACCACAGAGGCGGTTAAATCCTCTTTGCCACAAAATCTATGGAAGAATCGCGTTTTGACAGCTCAAAAATCTATATCTCACCTGATAATGATTCAGCACGATCCCGTTCCCTTCAATCTTGACTAGCGGGAACAGCGCCATGGTATCCACCGGTAGCTCTTCACCCCCTTCCTCTTCCACCGTAAACCGCATAGCGCCCCCGTATGACGTCACACGGTCGCCCAGGAACCGCCTGTCCAACGCCACGTAGACGGGGACAGGCGGCCAGGGGAGAGAGATGGTTGTGTCTGGGTGTTGAGGGTGGATGGTGAAGGGTTTGTCTATGTCCATCTGTGGAATTAAAATGATACTCAATACAAGTTACTAGAGATTAAAATTACAGTGCAGGAACGGTTGGCGTCGTGCTCAGGCGTATGATACTTCTATAGCTAGTAAAGAATTAGTGAGCTGACTAAAGACGTTGAAGCTTGCTGGAAAAATTGGTAGACCTCCACCAGCAACTAAACTCTTATGCTCACAGTAACATTCTGGTCCTCTTATGAGCAGTCTGGCGTATTGTGTGGAAGAGGGCAGGCTAAGATTGTTGGAGGAATTGATAGACCTACACCAGCAACTTACCTATGGTACTCACGCTCACTTTCTGGTTCCCTTTCAGCGGCGTGACCTTTTGCGGCTCGGGATAGCCCAGCCTATGAGTCATGGAAGATAATATAATAGGCATTCAGCAGCACCTAAACCCTATGATACTCACAGTGACATTCTGGTTTCCCCGCAGCAACGTGTGGTGTTGATGGTGCGAACGGCGGGAGAGCGCGGCCTAAGGCCGTTTTCTGACTTGTTGGCTCGACAGCGGCACGACATCAGCACGCTCGGTATACGCTGTACCGAAAACTTACCGAGCACCTATATTTTAATGGCGCGTTCCTGATTGGCGCGGCATGTGTGGTAGCGGCGCGGCACAGACCTCAACCTAGTATGCCGATATGCCGACATGTCAGAAAACGGCCTAAAATTCTTGGAAGAATACCCGCAACTTAACTCTATAATACTCACGGTAACATTCTGGTCTCCCTTCAGCAACGTGACGTGTTGCGGCGCGGCGGCGTGCACGGCGGCGCGGGACAGCGCGGCCTGCGTGCAGCCGCTGACAGCCCGAAGGTGCCTTCAAAGCACTGGTCTATCTGTCACCTACTATGCCCTGCCATACTCACATTAACGTTCTGGTCCCCCTTGAGCAATGTGATGTCTTGCGGCGGAGGAGAGATCAGGCTAAGATTCTTGGAAGAATAAGTAGACATTTAGCACCTAAACCATATGACGCTCACGGTGACGTTTTAATCTCCTGCTGCAATGGTAGGTATGTGAAGTGTAGCGGCAAAAAAGAGTAGGCTAAGATTCTTGGGAGATCTAAAGCCCGGTCCGTGAGCACGTAGAATTTTGTCCAATGACCCCAAGCTACCCATCCTTATCGCTCGTGCGTAATTATATTGCTGCAGTGAGTGTGCAGTGAATGTGTCATTGGACAAAATTCTACGTGGTCACAGACCAGAATGTAGTAGATATTAAGCAGCACCTAAGCCCTAACATACTCACGGTAACATTCTGGTCTCCCCTCAACAACGTGACGTGTTGCGGCGCGGCGGCGTGCACGGCGGCGCGGGAGAGCGCGGCCTGCGTGCAGCGCGCGGCGCGCCCGAAGCAGAAGCACGCCGTGCAGCCCGACGGGCTGGCCGCTGAGAGACCGAAGGTGCCTTTACCGGCACCTTTACTCACAGTAACGTTCTGATCCCCTTTGAGCAATGTGACGTCTTGCGGCGGGGGAGAGATCAGGCTAAGATTCTTGGAAGAATAAGTAGACATTTAGCACCTAAACCATATGACGCTCACGGTGACGTTCTAATCTCCTGCTGCAATGTGATGAGACGTGTTGCGGCAAGAGAGAGTAGGCTAAGATTCTTGGAAGAATAAGTAGACATTTAGCACCTAAATCTTATGACGCTCACGGTGACGTTCTAATCTCCTGCTGCAATGTTATGTGACGTGTAGCGGCAAGAGAGAGTCGGCTAAGATTCTTGGGAGATCTAGTAGATATTCAGCACCACCCTCAGATCATAGAAAGAGAATAGATATGAAGTCGCGCGTAACTACAACGAGAACCAGTGTCCCCACATTTCCCCCACCACAGCTCCCACACACACATTCAACTGTGTAAAAACAAAGCGACTGAGAGTCTACGACAACATGTGCAACCGGCTCAAAAGTGCTGTGATTGGCCAGAAGGCGTGCCTTATGGCCAATCAATGGCCGCGTGACGTGACGCACACTTTGAAAAAAGCAATTAGAGAGAAGAAAGATAAAATGGAGTCGATAAGATATCGATACTTTAAATCCTGGGGGCAAGGCTCGAAATTGGTTAAAAAAATGCTTGTATGAAAACCTTTTTATTATTATACGTTATTATTATGTTCTTTAACGATTTTTGCATAAAGGAGTCAGTTCCATTTTGTATGGACGAAAAACTCAGAATTAATTATTGGGACTAAATGAAGTTACCTTATATTAATTTACCCCAACCAAAGCTCAATGTCGTTATCGATGGAGTATAGAAGTTATAGACTGACAAAGTTTGTATGAAAAGTCATGGGTTAAGTAGGTACTTGCGATTTTTACCAGTATTTACAATATTGGTAATATATTATTATTTACTTTAATAATAATAACAGGATCACTGTAATTATTATTAACTACTATCGCGCATTAACTTTTTAATTATGGCGAAATTCGTACCGCCTATGTTTATCAAAAATAATGCCTATATTAGGCTTTCAACTAGCTCTTATAGTAATTACATAGTTGACAGTTACTAATCCCTTCTACTATTGTTATTGTTTTTGTAAAAACTTAAAAATCGCAAGCAACTCATGATTTTTTCATTCAAAATTAGAAAATAGAAAATAATAATTTACTTCTATTTATCGATAATAGGAAACCGTATTAGAACACGAGCCCTGCACTATGTTACGACCGGCACATGCGGCCGTACTGTGTATTTTCACGCGTCAGTGGATATCGGAAGAAATAAAATACATTGCGCAGTAGTTACGCATGACATAAAGTGGTTGCTAACTAAATCGTCAATGTACAACGTGTTTGAATTTTTATCACCACTAATTTCGATATCGCAGTAAATGTCACGGCACTGAATTCGTTCGTAAAAATGTTTAGTTTTTTTTATTTATAAGCAAAATACCAATGGATTTGCAATACTTACATGTGGTAAATGACTTCATTGTTCATGTAGTTCTTCGTTTCACTTATGTTATTGCACGTTACGACGCATTATCCAACAATATCGGAGAACATTTCCTCAGTACGACTGAATCGCGACTAAACTGGCGTCGCGGGCGATGTTCGTTTCTGGGCATATCGCGGAGACACGCGCCACGCCCCCGTTTCACATCTATTCCCTTCTATGATCTGAGGCACCACCTAAACCCTATAACTATGCTACTCACGGTAACATTCTGGTCTCCCTTCAGCAACGTGACGTGTTGCGGCGCGGCGGCGTGCACGGCGGCGCGGGACAGCGCGGCCTGCGTGCAGCGCGCGGCGCGCCCGAAGCAGAAGCACGCCGTGCAGCCCGACGGGCTGGCCACTGAGAGCCCGAAGGTGCCTTCGAGGCACTGGTCGCATTTGTCGCCTACTACGTTTTCCTGGAAAATTAGGATGTTGTGGAACAATGATATTTGGGGTGAAACAGTGGACGTTTCGAGAAATTGTTGGAAGCAAATAAAACTGGCTCAGTAGCTCGCTAATGCCATTTTCTTAGGGAGACCAATATCCACAGTGGACTTGTAAAGGCAGATCTGGGAAGAAGTTTTTCGTAAATGGTGGTTAAGTAGAATTTGGGTCTTGTTGACAGAATTGCGAACCTACAGGTAACATTGTCAGTTTTTCTTTGGTTCAGGATTTCGGGTGAAGCTCGCATCCCGTCTGATGGAAAATGAAGATCAGGCTGAAGGTGGAAACCGTCAACCTGATCATCATTTTTCTTCAGGTGAGATGCAGGCCAAGAGCATCGTCATTTTTGATCTAAAAGAACAAGCTTTTCCATGTTTGTTTTCTTACCTTGCAAGGACACCGCCCCTCCTCATCGCACGGGCACACGCTGTCCTCACAGTCTTTGGTTCCGTCCGCGTGGCAGAGACACGGTCTACATTTAGGCCCGAAGTGGCCGGCAGCGCAGCGGTCGCATTCCGCGCCCACCCAGCCCAGCTTGCA